AATTTACCAGAAGCTCCCTTCTGTTTTCCTCTGTCGTCGAGGCTGTGCAGGGACAGAGTGGCCTCCCCCCAAGTCAGTCTGGAGAACTCTGCCTCTCCCTTCAGGACAAGGATAGTAAAACGGAGAGAAGAGAGTCTCCCCATCCTGCTGAGACTTATGGACCCCACAGATGTTCCCCACAGGAGCGCCCATGGGGGCCAGGTACTGGGCAAGGCACCGGGAACACAGCACTGAAGGTCCAGGGTGAAGCAGAAAGTCCAGTTGTTCAAAGAGAGGGAGGATGATCAGACTTGCTTTTTGATGAAACATGCCCAGGTAGATATTCACATCAAAACCAAGCTTACTATCATGGAAATACACCATAGGCTATCAGAGAAGGAATGGCCCTTTAGTCCAAGCTTCTCCTCATACATATAAGGAAATAAACTATTGTTCATGCATTAGCATCAAGGTAAAACCTGTGATTTTTATAGTACTTTGGAAGTTCTACAGCATTTTTATGTATAATAGGACAAAGACCTCCTAACCTTTAGGTCCATTCTAGACTAGGTTTAAAGATTTTCCTGTCTGAATATCACCACCCCATCACTGAACAACTGAGTTGATCTACTGGGGAGATAATGTCTAACAAAGATACCTGCATAGAATGCAAGGCACACGGTTCTTTATAACTGTATAAGATGGCATTTTGGTTGTTACAGCAAAACCAAGTGTTTTTTGGTGGAATAATCCACTTGGTGTAACTGGAGAAGGTGGTTTAGTATTATTCTTGTCCTGAATCCTTAAACTGGTTCTACACACACACACCACAGAAATGACAGTCAGTGAGAGCTACTTGTGTGTGTGTGCTCCGGTGTGCACACGCAGTAGGGGCAGGGGACACTCCGGCTCTGTTCCAGGCAGTCACACAACCCTCCCTTCCTTTTCTCCTGTGGTCCATCCTGATACCATCCTGGTTCCTTCAAAGCTCTTGGTGAGATGTCCCATTACTCACCTGGCCCCCACCTGCTCTACCTAGTGACTCTCGCCCACCGAATGTGGCTTGCTCACCTGCCACTCATCGCTCCCCCCACACATAAACCTATGGCTCCCTCTCTGGCAGTGAGCTTGTGTAGGCTCTTCATGGCCTTCAAAGAAAAGCAGTCAAATAGAAGACAGAGGCCAATCCTTTATGCAAGAAAGATGAGTTATGAGCTAACTGTGAAGCCCTGAATAAGTCACATAGTCTCTGATCTTCATTCTTCAAATCACATGAATTGAAAGTCATCTAAATTGCCTTATAGGTCTCAAACTCTATAGTACATACATACATCCCTACAGCAAATATGTCTGTTATAGAAGTCAAACAAGCCTCACCTTCTACAATTACACCAAATGGATTATTCCACCAAAAGACTCTTGACTTGGTTGTAACAAAAAAGCAAAATACCTTCTTATACTTTTATAAAGAACCATGTGCCTTGCCTTAGAAGTAGAGAATAACTATTTGGTTATTGGATAGTTTTTAATATGGGGGCAAAGGCTTCCCTTGTGGCTCAGCTGGTAAAGAATCTGCCTGCAATATGGGAGACCTGGGTTCAATCTCTGGGTTGGGAAGATCCCCTGGAGAAGGGAAAGGCTACCCACTCCAGTACTCTGGCCTGGAGAATTGCATGGATTGTGTAGTCCACGGGGTCACAAAGAGTTGGTCATGAATGAGCAACTTTCACTTTCACTTTCAAAGGTATATCTGTTGCTTATTAACATATGCACCCTTCTTACAGTCAGGTTACCTGCAGCAAGGTTGAAGAAAATAAATCAGGATGATGGTGAAGGACCATTACAGAACAAAAGCTTCTGAAGGGATTCCATTCCTCTCTGGCTATCTAAATCTATAAACTATCTGTGCAAAATACTAAATGTTCTTATAAAAACTTTAAGACTGGATCAACAAATGCATGGCACACGGAACACCACTCCCACCTCCTCCTGCTGCAGCAGATATTGCTTTCCGATCACAGAACTCTTTCCAATGTGTCTACACACAGCCTTCAAATGATGCTCTACCCAGCATCGCAGGTATATGCTGGCAACAAATCACACTTGGCAAGAATGACAAAAGCTATTTGGAATCCACGCTTTATGAGATTGACTCTATTACCCTCACTGCCATTTCCAGTATTAAGAATCAAGAATATCAAAATGTCATTACTTACATAAAATAGGAAGGGGATCTTGCCTGCAGGAGCATGGCTCTGAACATTAGTAGGAGATGTCAACCCTGAAACTCTCCAGAACTTTCTTATCATTCTGATCTCTGATTTTTACTTCCCTGACTCACCTCCCTATAAAGTATAAGAGTCCTTGGGTTGTTTTGTTCAGTGGCTAAGTCGTGTCCAACTCTTTGCAACCCCAAAGACTGCAGCACGCCAGACTTCCCTGTCCTTCACTATCTCCCAGAGTTTGCTCAAACTCATTTCCATTGAGTCAGTGATGCCATCCAACCATTTCATCCTCTGTTGCCCCCTTCTCCTCCTGTCCTCAATCTTTCCCAGCATCAGGGTCTTTTCTAGTGAACTGGCTCTTCCCATCAGGTGGCCAAAGCATTGGAGCTTCAACTACAGCATCAGTCCTTGCAATGAGTTTTCAGGGTTGATTTCCTTTAGGACTGACTGGTTGATCAATCAGTCAATTTAGGACTGACTGACTGATTGATCTCCTTGCAGCCTAAGGGACTCGCAATAGTCTTCTCCAGCACCACAATTCGAAAGCGTCAATTCTTTGGAGCTCAGCCTTCTCCGTAGTCCAACTTTCACATCCACATATGACTACTGGAAAAACCATAGCTTTGACTAGATGGGCTTTTGTTGGCAAAGTGATGTCTAGGTTTGTGATGTCTAGACATTAATACAATGTCTAGGTTTGTCATAACTGTTCTCCCAAGGAGCAAGTATCTTTTAATTTCCTAGCTGCCATCACTGTCTGCAGTGATTTTGGAGCCCAAGAAAATAAAATCTGCCACTGTTTCCAATTTTTTCCCATCTATTTGCCATGAAGTGATGAGAACAGATGCCATGATCATCATTTTTTGAATGTTGAGTTTTCAGCCAGCTTTTTCAGTCTCCTCTTTCACCTTCATCAAGAGGCTCTTTAGTTCCTCTTCACTTTCTGCCATTAGGAAGGTATCATCTGCATATCTGAGGTTGTTGATATTTCTCCCAGTGACCTTGATTCCAGCTTGTGATTCATCCTGCCTGGTATTTGCATGACTCGGTTGAGTTCTGCCCCAAATTGGCAGTCTCACACGTCACAGGTTAAGTGTGATCTTGAGAGCTGGTTGTGAATGAACGCGTGTGAGAGAGAAGGAAAGACAGCCCATGTTGCCGAGGCAAAAGGATGGTCTGGGGGTAAGCAGGAAGGGTGAGAGGTGGGCTGGAGCAAGGAGGGCAACAAAGGCACCAAGAGAATGGAGTCAGAATTGCAACAAAACTAAGTGAACCCTGGAGTTGAGTAAATAAATGTGAAAATGTTGGCTCTTAAATGAAGAGCAGTTTTTCACAGGAATTTGGAATAGCTTTCCTGGCTATAAATATAGCTAGCCCTGGGAACCTGCATGTTATATATCCTCAGGTTAAAACTACTATGGATTGGGTACTGTGTTTACAGCCTGCAACTGGTTGAATCCATGGATGCGGAACTTGCTAATACTGAGTGCCTAAACTATGAGGTGACTGTCCTTGGATTTTGGTATTTGCAGAATGTCCTAGAACCAATCCCTGTGGAGCCAAGGAATGAGTGCATCTTTCCTCTCTTTACTCTTTAGCCCTCCCCTCCTTTCTGTACTCTCCATCCTCTTTTTCCTGCATCCCCACTTCTTTCCCCATTTCCTCCCCTTTAACTTCCGTTTCTTTCTTTTATTCACTTTCTCTCTTATTCCCTCTGTCCAAGCCTTAGATACTCTTGCCCACCAGCCCTTAGGCATTAAAGAGCCACTGTGGCACCCTTGGAGGGGCTAAGGTGCTTGTAGTTTATCCCCCATATAGTGCAGCACAGAGGGGATTCTAAAGACAGGGCAATTGGCAGTGGGGAAGGGGGTGGGCACTCCTGGATGCTCTTCAGCAGAGGTGAGTTGAGTGCAGGTCACCTGTGAGAAGGAGGCAATGAAGCAGAAAGCGAGGTGGAGAGTGTATGCAGGTCCACAAATAGGATCAGCAAAGTCCCAGACCAAAGTCTTCAGCAATAAGGCTGAAAGAAAACCAACTGAGCAGAAAATAGCTTAAGGCAGATAGAGATGCAGGGTGGAAAGAGACAGAGAGAGAAATCTGAGGCAAGTAAGTAAAGCAGCAGCATTAATAAACAGCTATGACTAGAAATAGACCTGGGGGGATGTATGTTAACAAGTAGGTGCACACCAAGAGTAAAAAGCAAAAACCAAAGTGAAACTGTGTTTTTGTTAACACTTAACTCAAAGGAAAAGAGTATACCAGTTAAAAGGCAGCACCACATGAGAAACTCAGTAGATATTTCCTGGTTTTATTTGAATTTTTTGTGTTAATATCACTTTAGAAACATAATTTTTGTTCTGAGATTTTAAAATAACCTAAATTAAGTTGGGAACTAAAATAAAACCAAACACCTATTGTATTTAGACAATAATGTGGACTTAAAGCAAAGAAATTCTTTGCTAACCCATCCTATTGAACCTGAAGGTCAACCCAATCATAACAGGGTTCCTTAGAGACTTATCCTTCCTAACTAGTTACCAATTTGTAATAAAAAATCATGAGTGTCTTATATCAAATGATTGTTTCTGAATTGTTACCTTGGATCAACAGAGAGTAAATACTGGCATTTTCATATGGCAATCTGCTATTTGGGAATAATCTAGCCTTCCTGGAGGGATGGAAATAAAGCACAAAACAGTCATTTACCAATCATATAATATTAGACACCTGTAATTTGTCATTCACTGCAGTGTTCTAGAATCATTAGAGAAGCCATTCGACTGCTCTCAAACGTACCAGGTATGATGATGTAGGAAACGTGACTCTGCAGACTGAACGCAACATGTCTAATAAGACTTCATGACTCTGAACTGAAAGGTAAAGATTAGTGCAAACCATCAGGCTACTAGACTAGGAAAAAAACAGCAATAAAAACATTTTTAAAAGGACTAATATATCAGAAATTTAAGCAGGGCATTCATTTTAGTTATAGTTATTAGTCAGAACAAAGTGATGGTACAATTCACTTATACAGTGAGTTAAATTGGTCATAACAGTATATCAAGTAATATTATCCATTAATTAATTAAGCAAACATTTTATTAGTACCTACTATGTGTATTATACTGTCAGACACTGCAAGGCATGTTCAGGTATAAAAGAATCTCTTCTGTCAACAGGATTATTATTCAATAGAGGAAGAAGACATTTTGCAGAACTCACATATAAATATGGTTATTTATTATAAGAGATGTACAAAGAGAATGTTTCAAGACTGTAGAAGGAGAACTGAATCATATGGTCATTTTATAGGTAAAGTCAGGTAAAGCTGTATTTTAAAAATTCATTTGCACATGTTTTTTTTAAAAAAAGAGAAGACTTTGGAGAAGCCAAAGTTATAGGGAATGGATATCCCTGTTATAAAAATTGGGATTGACATATACACACTACTATATATATAACAGATAACTAATAATGACATACTGTATAGCAAAGGCAACTCTGCTCAAGACTTTGTAATGGCCTATAGGGGAAAATACTCTAAAAAAGAGTAGATATATGTATTGTTTAGTCACTGTCATGTTCAACTCTTTTGCAAGCCCATGGACTATGGCCCGCCAGGCTCTTCTGCCTATAGAATTTCCCAGGCAAGAACAGTGAAGTGGGTTGCCATCTCCTTCTCCAGGGGATCTTCCTGACCCAGGGATAAAACCCACATCTCCTGCACTGGCAAGGGGATCCTTCACCACTGACCCACCAGGGAAGCCTGGACACATATACAACTCACTCCCTTTGCTGTACACCTGAAACCAAAACAACACTGTAAATCAACTCTATGCCAATAAAAAGTTTAAAAATAATAAACAAATAAGGGATGTTGGATAATCTATTATCAATCCTGAATTATCAACTTCTTCTCAGCAATCTGCATTGCAAAGCAGACAGCAAGACTTACATTTCTCAGAATATTCTTCTCTGTATGGTTCCAAAGGGAGTCAGCCAACCAGAGAGGAAGTCAGAAGATACAGAAGGCAAAGAGATGAAAAAGCCATCCTTGGGAGTCAGACAAGTGTGCACAAATGTCCTCACTGTTGTGCATTGAAAAATTTGATGAGCTGGAAGAGGTTCCTTCAACATGGCCCTGCTTTCTGTATTGAAACTGTGATGGGTCTCTGAGTCACTACACCCTTGTCCCTTATATATCTCATCACTGAGCCATGATCATTAGAAATGCCATTGCCTAGATTCTTCTTTTTCACTTACTTTGCTTCTGTGAATGTTAACTGACTTACATATCTATACATATTACATATGTATATTATTTGGATGTCTTAGTCCATGGGCTTGCAAAACAGCTAAACATGATAGTGACTAAACAACAACAATACATATATCCACTCTTTTTTAGATTATTTTCCCATATAGGCCATTACAAAGTCATGAGTAGAGTTGCCTCTGCTAGACATCAATATGTCTATTTGGATGTCTATAACCTATTAATTCACACAACACTTCTTATGAATTCATGACAGATGTGTGTGTATGTCAATTAATTATATGAATCTGTACATCTGCAAGTATAAACAAAAGCAATTGCAAGCACTATGGGAAATTCACAAAAGTCATACCTGGTGTCAAAATATTTCATCATATTTTAAATATTATATTGTGTATAGGTCTGCTGAATCAGTTTTCTGTTCAATCTCCTTTTATTCTTTTTTGATAAAACTATACAAGTGATAGTGTTCTGAAACAAATAAGTGATTACAGCAGGGTGGTGGGATACCAGGTTAATAAAAGTCAATCACTTTCTTATACATCAGAATTTTACACTTAAAGCACAATGCCATTTAGATTAATATCCCCTCCCCAATGCAATACATAGGCACAACTTGAACAAAATATCTCTAAGATCTATGTGAAGAAAACTATAAAACTCTGATGAAAGAAATCAAAGTAGATCTTTAAGAAAACAGATTCCATGGAAATAGATAAGAAGACAATATTATTAAGCTGTTAGTTCCTCCCAACTTAATCTACAAATTAAATGCAATCTCAATAAAAGCTTCAGCAAGCTAGCTTGCAGATATCAACAAACTGATTCTAAAGTTTATATGGAAATCCAGAATACCTGACGCAAAATTGAAGGAAAAGAACAAAGTCAGAAGACTGACAGTCTCAAACTTTAAGACTTGTTACAAAGCTCCAGTAACCAAGACAGTAGTGTACTGGCAAAAGAACAGACAAATAGATCAATAGAATAGAAGAGAGATGTCATAAATAGAACCACAGAAATATAGTCAAATGATCTTTGACAAAGGAGCAAAGGCAATTGAATGGATAAAGGAATAGTCTTTTCCACAAATGGTGCTAGAACAACTAGACATCCTTATGAAAAGAAAAAAAAAAAAAAATCCAGACACAGGCCTTCCTAACACCTGTCACGAAAACTAATTCAAAATGGATCATAGGCCTAAATATAAAATGTAAAGTCCTAGGAAATAACATAGGAGAAAAGACAGATGATTTGGGTATGGTGATGACTTTATAGATATAACACCAAAGGCATAATTCATGAAAGAAATAATTGATAAGCTGAACCTCATTAAAATTAAAAACTTCAGCCCTGTGAAAGACACTGTCAAGAGAACAAGAAGATAAGCCACAGACTGGGAGAAACTATTTGCAAAAGGCATATCTGATAGAGAACTATTATCCAAAACACAGAAATAATTCAAACTCAGTGATAAGAAAATGAATGACTCAAATGGGCCACAGACTTGACAGACACCAGATCAAAGAAGATATACAGATAGAAAATAAGCATATTAAAAGAGGCTCTCAATCCCATGTTATTAGTGAGTTATGAAGTTAAAATAACATGAGATACCACTGCACATCTATTAGAATAATGGAAATCAAACACATTAACACCATCAAATACTGGGGAGGATGTGGAGCAACAGGAACTCTCATTCATTTCTGGTGGGAATGCAAAATGGTACAGCCACTTTGGAAGGCAGCTTAGTAGTTTCTTTCAAATCAAACATACTCTTACTAAATGACTCAACAGAACCTCATATATACCCAAACGATTTGGAAACTCATGTCCATACAAAACCCACACAAGAAGGTTTAAAGCAGCTCAATTCGTGATTGCCATAACTCGGAAACCACTAAGATGGCCTTCAATAGGTGAGGGGATAAACAAGCTGTGGTGACTCCAGACAATGAAGAAAAGAGGCACGAAGCCATGAAAAGACATGGGGAACTTTAATAGCATATTGATAAGTGAAAGAAGCCAATCTGAAAAGGTTACATACTGTATAATTCCAATTATATGACACAGTGGAAAAGGAAAACAATGGAGACAGTCAAAAAATAAAAACTAGTTGCAAGGTGTTCAGTGGAACTAGAAAGTATGAATGGGTGGAGTACCAGGGATTTTTAGGGAAATGAAACTATTCTGTGAGATACTATAATGTTGGATACAGGTCATTAAACGTTTGTCAAATTGAATGTATAACACCAAGAGTGAAACCTAATATAAACTACAGACTTTCATGAATAATACTATGTCAGAATTGGTTCATCAATTGTAATAAATGTACCTATCACACTAACACAGGATATTAACAATAGAGGACCTGGGGAGAGTGATGGGGTATATGGTATATGTTCTGCTCAGTTTTTCTGTAAGCCTAAAATTTATCCCAAAAAAAGTGTATTGATTTTTAAAAAATCAAATTAATACATGATTACATTCTTGTTGCAAAAACCTCAAATCACTTAGAAGACTAAACGTTTAAGCCCCAAATGATTCTTTCATGTCAATCCTTTCTTCATATCTAAGGGTAAATGCTATTAATAACTTGGAATGCATGAGTTCATTCTGCCTTTTAATATACTTATGTATGAATAGGGTTTCCCAGGTGGTGCTAGTGGTAAAGAATCCACCTATCAATGCAGAAGACATAGGGGATGCAGGTTCGATCCTTGGATTGGGAAGATCCCCTGGTGGCTGCTGCTGCTAAGTCACTTCAGTCATGTCCAACTCTGTGCGACCCCATAGACGGCAGCCCACCAGGCTCCTCTGTCCCTGGGATTCTCAAGGCAAGAATACTGGAGTGGGTTGCCATTTCCTTCTCCAATGCATGAAAGTGAAAATTTCAACTGAAGTCGCTCAGTCATGTCTGACTCTTCGCGACCCCATAGACTATAGCCTACCAGGACTCTCCGTCCATGGGATTTTCCAGGCAAGAGTACTGGAGTGGGTTGCCATGTCCTTCTCCAGATCCCCTGGTGGAGGACATAGCAAACCACTCCAGTATTCTTGCCTAGAAAAACCCATGGGCAGAGGAGCCTAGCAGACCACAGTCCATGGGGTCACAAAGAGTTGGACACGTCTAAAGTGACTTAGCACACATATATGGGTGTATGTCTACTAAGTTTTCTGATCATATAAGAATTCTTCCATAAATTTATTCTGAAATTTGCTTTTTTTAAAGCATGCACTAGTGATCACACAGAGCATTACATGGAAAAATATTCTAGAAAACACATTTCCATGGTTGACACTCTGTAGTCTGAAACTTCTTCTGTCTTCCAAGATGACTGTACAGTGATGGTCATATAGCAGCAACTCCAGAAATGCTTAAGGTTGGTACACAATTGACAAAGTCAAGACAAAAAAGAATTAAGCCCTTGAAATACTGCTATGTGGTCTGACAGTTAAACTCTAGGGGGAATTAGCCCTTTGACTGAACACCCAATATGCCAACAGAGTATCCATTCTCTACAGAGGAGAAACCTTTTCCTTTTTCATAATGATTTGAGTCCCCAGGGATATACACAATGTAGAGATTGCTAT